CATTGCCTTGATTCCATAAAACTACATTTCACTTTGAGACATACAGTAGTTCTATACAAAATATCAATCAACACAAATAACAAAACATAGCTACAACAAATACCAAAAGAGACATTTGTTTTATATTGATTTCCATTCGAATACATTCTCATGCATGTTTCAGTAAAACAGGATTTCATTCAAATTTACCACCACGTTTCACTACATTCACCTAGTTGCCATTTATTTTTTACCAGAGAAAGGATGACCCTTCACAAATATTATCTGTGATCTGTGCTTGTTAGGCCTGGGAAAAAATAAATAAAGAAAACTGCCTCTTTGACAGGCCAGTGTTTTGTTTAATGGAAAAATCACAGGCCTTTGATTCAAAGTATGCATCTCTGTATATTAAAAAAGAGGAACGTGACATGGAACCTTAAAGCCTGTTATGAAATATGACATGGCAAGCATGATCAGCCTGTTCTTGACAACCACAGCTTTAGGCTCTGTGCTTGACAAATACAGCTGCATGCTCAGGATACCAGAGTGTTTTTATTACATAGATTTATATTGCAACTCACTATTGTTCCTCAGTTTTTACAAAGCTAGGCCTACTGTATATGATTTGTGAATAATTAAATTACACTAGTATTATGATTAGGTGCAATATATACCTGTATACCTGGGCTGGAATATCATGGGTAAGCTTTTCTGCCTGGGCTGGAATAGCATGGGTAAGCTTTTTTGCGCTCTTGGAGGCAGTGCAGTCAAAAACGTGATTTTCCTGCATATTTTATATATACACTACCAGTCAAAAGTTTGGACACCCCTACTCATTCAAGGGTTTTTCTTTATTTTTACATTGTAGAATAATAGTGAAGACATCAAAACTATGAAATAACACATATGGAATCATGTAGTAACCAAAGAAGTGTTAAACAAATCAAAACATATTTTATATTTGAGATTCTTCAAATAGCCACCATTTGCCTTGATGACAGCTTTGCACATATTGACCAGTCTTTGCCATAAAGGCTTGAAGCTCCTTCAAAGTCGCCATTGGCTTCTTGGTAGCCTCTGATCAGTCTCCTCCTTGCCTGGTCATCCAGTTTGGAGGGACGGCCTGATCTATGCAGGGTCTGGGTGGTGCCATACACCTTCCACTTCTTAATAATGGTCTTAACTGTACTCCGAGGGATAGACAAAGCCTTTGAATTCGTTTTATATCCATCCCCTGACTTGTGCCTTTCCACAACTTTATCTCATAGGTCTTTTGTAAGTACCGTTCCGCCCATAGTGGATTATTTGCTTTGAATTGAACTATTAAGCAGTGGAGTCCTCTATGAACAACTGCTTTTATTCTGAACTAATCAAAGTCAATACAATTGATCACAGATGGAAGCCAATTAGCTTGATTTTTGATCTGGAAAGTGGTTGGTTATACCTCAGCAAGTTTGCAATTGCAATTCTAAGGGGGGGGGGTGTTCACTTATCCAAATAGGGTATTTGACTGTTTTAATTGTAATTAATTTTCAGAGGTCATTAGATTTTTTTTTCTCACTTGGATATTGTGGGTAAATAAAGCCGGAAAAAGTCTGATTTTATTTGTTTTCATTTCAGGCTGTAAGGCAACAAAAGGTGAACATTTTGAAAGGGGTGGTGACTTTCTATACCCACTGTATACACACACACACACACACACACACACACACACACACACATACTACGAGGTTGGAATAATACTGTGGAAATTGTGAAAATGATGATTATATGTAAGAGCTGTTTGAAAAGGCTGCCTGAACTTTCAGCTCGTTTTGCATGTGTGGAGTTTGGCCTACCAGGCGGTACAAGTTAATAGACCGATAACAAAGAGAGTTTCAAACCTCTCTGCCAATAACATCTAGCTTTCAGGTTACATATCCCTCCCATTAGGCTTCTCCAATTAGGTCCTTCACTCAGACCAGACAGTCCTAGCAACATTTTTGCTTATGAAATTGCTTTTTGCTAAGTAGCAATTTTTTTTTTTTTACCATTTTAATTGAAAACAATCATAGTAACGTACTTAAATTGTTACAGATAGATGATTTGATATTGAGATAAAAACAGCTGATATGCATTTTTCTACATTGTAATGGACACGGTGCAACCTTTGGTAGGTACTACAGGCTGCTGGCAGGCTTCGGCTGCGGTACAGCAAAGCCATGTCAGCCCGTGCTCATAAAGTGAAATGATAGGCTACAATGACTGCTCATGATCATGCACGCCGCAAATGACAAGCAACTATAAATTCCTTGAATTTTCTTTTGCGGGTGCCTTTTCATTATCTGGATAGACAATTGGGGTTTTCTAGCTAACATTACACTAATTAAAGCAGTGGAGCGTGTAGTGAAGCAAAACTTTAGTGGTCAAAACCATTAATCTTGGCGCGATGGAGGGAGTGGGTTTGCAAAATTCGATTATATCACGCAATTATACCATTTATTTAAAAAATACGCTTGCACCCCCCATTTTAATTTGCTTCATGGCTCAGACAGCCAATTGGACACAATACTGTTTGGCTCATCTCAGTCACGAAGAGGAATAACTTTGCAGCCGTTTCTGATTAATAAAATAAAAACATATGTTTTTATTGTCACATACACCAGATAGGTGCAGTGAAATGTGTTGTTTTACAGAGTCAGTCATAGTAGTACAGCACCCCTGGAGCAAATTAGGGTTAAGTGCCTTGTTCAAGGGCACATTGACAGGTTTTTCACCTTGCCGGCTCGGATATTCAAACCAGCGACATTTTGGTTACTGGCCAACGCTCTAACCAATGCTCTAAACAAGCCATGCTGGTGGGTGGTAACATTCAAACTAAACATTGGCTGAAAATAATTTGTATGTCATATCATAGGAAAAGACACTACATTCACACGGATTTGCAAGAAGTGGGCAGTTTGGATTTGTCACTTCAAGCCCAAATATATCGTACTTTGACTAAAATGATGACTTGACTTAAATTGTTGTGCAACATCATGGGTAAGCTCTGGCCATCTTTCACCTCGAACAAGTGGATTTCTACTGGTGTGGGCGTTTAACAATTCCACCATCTAGTATGTATATGTATATATATACAGTGAGGGAAAAAAGTATTTGATCCCCTGCTAATTTTGTATGTTTGCCCACTGACAAAGACATGATCAGTCTATAATATTAATGGTATGTTTATTTGAACAGTGAGAGAGAATAACAACAGAAAAATCCAGAAAAACACATGTCAAAAATGTTATAAATTGATTTGCATTTTAATGAGGGAAATAAGTATTTGACCCCTCTGCAAAACATGACTTAGTACTTGGTGGCAAAACCCTTGTTGGCAATCATAGAGGTCAGACGTTTCTTGTAGTTGGCCACCAGGTTTGCACACATCTCAGGAGGGATTTTGTTCCACTCTTCTTTGCAGATCTTCTCCAAGTCATTAAGGTTTCGAGGCTGACGTTTGGCAACTCGAACATTCAGCTCCCTCCACAGATTTTCTATGGGATTAAGGACTGGAGACTGGCTAGGCCACTCCAGGACCTTAATGTGCTTCTTCTTGAGCGACTCCTTTGTTGCCTTGGCCGTGTGTTTTGGGTCATTGTCGTGCTGGAATAACCATCCACGACCCATTTTCAATGCCCTGGCTGAGGGAAGGAGGTTCTCACCCAAGATTTGACGGTACATGGCCCCGTCCATCGTCCCTTTGATGCGGTGAAGTTGTCCTGTCCCCTTAGCAGAAAAACATCCCCAAAGCATAATGTTTCCACCTCCATGTTTGACGGTGGGGATGGTGTTCTTGGGGTCATAGGCAGCCTTCCTCCTCCTCCAAACATGGAGAGTTGAGTTGATGGCAAAGAGCTCGATTTTGGTCTCATCTGACCACAACACTTTCACCCAGTTCTCCTCTGAATCATTCAGATGTTCATTGGCAAACTTCAGACGGCCCTGTATATGTGCTTTCTTGAGCAGGGGGGCCTTGCGGGTGCTGCAGGATTTCAGTCCTTCACGTGTAGTGTGTTACCAATTGTTTTCTTGGTGACTATGGTCCCAGCTGCCTTGAGATCATTGACAAGATCCTCCCGTGTAGTTCTGGGCTGATTCCTCACCGTTCTCATGATCATTGCAACTCCACGAGGTGAGATCTTGCATGGAGCCCCAGGCCGAGGGAGATTGACAGTTATTTTGTGTTTCTTCCATTTGCGAATAATCGCACCAACTGTTGTCACCTTCTCACCAAGCTGCTTGGCGATGGTCTTGTAGCCCATTCCAGCCTTGTGTAGGTCTACAATCTTGTCCCTGACATCCTTGGAGAGCTCTTTGGTCTTGGCCATGGTGGAGAGTTTGGAATCTGATTGATTGATTGCTTCTGTGGACAGGTGTCTTATATACAGGTAACAAACTGAGATTAGGAGCACTCCCTTTAAGAGTGTGCTCCTGATCTCAGCTCGTTACCTGTATAAAAGACACCTGGGAGCCAGAAATCTTTCTGATTGAGAGGGGGTCAAATACTTATTTCCCTCATTAAAATGCTAATCAATTTATAGCATTTTTGACATGCGTTTTTCTGGATTTTGTTGTTGTTATTCTGTCTCTCACTGTTCAAATAAACCTACCATTAAAATTATAGACGGATCATTTCTTTGTCAGTGGGCAAACGTACAAAATCAGCAGGGGATCAAATACTTTTTTCCCTCACTGTGTATATATATATATATATATATATTTTTTTTTTATATACAATTCTGTATTTTCTTAGATCTACACTCAGTAATAGTATGACTTAATACTAATTAAAACATCAATGAGGACCAGAAATACCTATCCATCAAGTTACTACAGTACTTCCAAAGTTGAAACTAGGACAGTAGCAACCTCTAGGACAGAATGGAGCAAAAACTAGCATACACATGGCCATAAAGCATCCCCTGCTCAGTATTATCTACACATTCAGTAAATACATAGCATATATACATTCATTTGTCGGGCCCTGGTCAGGTTACCTAGTCCTCAAATCCAGCTGATCTGCGGCGCTGGTTCCAGACTTCATCCCTGCGATCAGGTCTGAAGTAGCCAGAGTGACCCACTCTCTCACTAGGGGCTTTGGGGAATGCCCGTCCTAACTGGGAGGGGTGCGTTCTACCCTCCTGGGGACAGGACTGTGACAGCTGGTAACCTGCTGACCTAGAATCAGGGGACAGTGCAACAAACCTCAGACATAAAACCAATGCTTCAACAGGCAGCAGGTAACGATGACAGACTCAGGATTAGTGTAGAAGATAAAACTCAGAATCATTACTAATGAATGAGGAGGACACAAAATCTCATTTACGACAAGGGATCCCTATGTATAATTTATATGTAACCATGTCCTAACCTTTGAAACTGGAAACTCAGCATTGTAATCAAAGTGAGACACTAAGGCACGGCCCAAAGCTCATGGGCCCAACTATGGAAAACGTAGATCATGTACAGTACCAGTCAAAAGTTTGGACACATCTACTCATTCCAGGGTTTCTTTATTTTTACTATTTTCTACATTGTAGAATAATAGTGAAGAATGGTACTGTATATCAACAGTAAAAAATTCAGTTCACAAACTCGCCTGCTTTTGGTGATTCTATGAGGTCCGTTTCCAGCTGTCTGGTGCTGCAGGGGAGATGAAAATATGTCAGGTATTTCTACTGTTTACACCAAAGCTGATATTATCCAGTTCTGGGATGTTTGAAAGGCTATCATTTTTCCCTTTTTTAGATCGATACGGAGGAAGAAAACATATTTGAAAAGGCTTCCTCTCAACTCCCCAACTGAATCTGGGATGCCAATTACGATCAACAGTTCTCACGAGGGTTCAAATGTGTAAAAATTATGATATTCTCTACTCTCTCCCTAACCGTCTTTCCGTTGCCATCTATGAGAAGCATAAAACCAAAAAAGTAAGAGCAGCTGCCACAAAAACCTTTGAAAAGGAATCCGTCATTGTCAACACATTGCTGTCAGTAGTAGGAAACAGGCTTGATATTGTACAGTACCATGTAATCGGTGTAGGTTGGTGGACTGGGGGAGCTCTGATAGTACTCCAGTAGCCTCTCAGCCAGGGCGATGCGTTTCAGCAGGTTCTCAATGAAACGTTGGATCCGAACTTTACCACATATCTCATGCTGGGTTGCAGCCTCCAGAAAATTCTGAATGGTAATGACTTCTCTAAAAAAAATACAGAAACAAAATCTAAGACCTGAGGGGAACAATGAGGGGAGTATCTAGTAACATGCTAAATAATGTTGCTACTGCAATAACTACAGTACCTCCACTAGCAACAATCTAAGGAGTTACCAGATTAGTGTACTGTCGGCCATTTGACCTCATGACTATGATTTTGACTAACAATAGGGTAAGGAAAGGTTAAGATTGAGTTACTGGCTCAGACACTACTCACTGTTCTCTCCTCTCCAGCTCGTACTCTGACTCGTTCAGCTGCTCCTTTAGCGTGGCAATCACCATCACGGCCACGTCCACCTGGCGGCTCAGCGCCCTCTCCCGCTCCTGTACCTCCTGCCTCTCCTGGGCCAGGTGCTGGGAGTGGGCACGCTCACACAGCAGCTCTGTGTCCGTCTGGGCCAGCTCCGTGCTGACCCTGTGCAGCCTCCTCTGCATGGTGCTGTCCGCTGCCAGCAGGACCTTGGCAAGCCTGCGCCGGACCGACACCTCCCCAGCACAGACACTCCACTCTGGGGACACTACCTCTGGCTCGCTGCCTGGGTCTGGAGGGTCGTCAAATGGAAAGGGGAAGGGGATATGATCTGTCCCAGGGCTGGACTTGTGGAATTTTAAATAATCTTTACTGGCCTCTTCTTCCTCTTCCTCCTCCTCAGTCTGTATCTCCTCTGCTGCCTGCGTCCCCACACTATGCGTACGACACCTCTCTATGCAACTAGTGACCTCTCGTGTGTCACTCAGGGAGCGCACATGCAGGGCTCTCTCTGGGTGAGAGTGCCCCCTGCGGGTCGGGAGGCTCAGCTCGTGCATGGTGTGGTAGTAGCTGTGGCTGTATTCCAGGTGGTCTCTCAAGGAGGCCAGGCTATGGAACCTCTCATGCTCCCCACACCGAGGGCACCTAAATGGGAGCTGGGAGTCAGCAGATGCCCCACAAGCCTGCCCATTCTCAGTGAGGAGAGAGGTACTCCTGGCACATACCTTCTGCTGCATTTCACCTACGACCTGGAAGCTAAACACACAATGGTTACAGTCAGCTGATACATGACTTTGATATAAGTAATCCAACTACAGTAGACTTATGACAAGACTGATATCTCATGTATATAGCACTCAGCTATATTACTGCAATTGACTCATATTCAACAATATAATAGGCTATCAAATCAAGCCTACATTTGTTTAAATCAACAACCAGCCAACAACAGATGACAGTGACAGCATAATCATGTAAATACAATTAAAGTATTTAGCTAAGCAATGGCACATATGGGCTCTCGATATTAACTGTGTATAACAGCTTTTCATAAATGTAACAGGTCATTTTTAATTGGCTAGCTATTAGCTAACGCTGCTAGCATCTCTTCCTACCCGATGCATGGCTCACTACTACTAGCTAGCTAGTTAGCCAGGCTGCTGCTGCCAATACATAGCCCCATGGTGTTTTATATTACGTTATCTATTTCGAGCTATTGATGCATGTAATCTCGCATAAATATATAGTTTACCTGTATTTGCATGATGATGTCATGCAAAAGAGCAAGAATTCCCCGCACACAAATTTCCTGCGTAGGGTTGTGAAAATTGTAGTCTGCTGAGCGCAATGAACACAGCCACCCCTCCTGTAGGCCTACCTGGGAATGGTCATGTATAAACTAGTGACGATCAGCAACCAAATATCAATAGAACGTTGCTAAGTCAGTAAAATAGCCACAATGTCGCGTTTACTGGCTACCGATTCGAACCAGAAAAGTGCCTTCATTGGCCCTTGTAATCAACGTTGCACACATAATGGCATATATATTCTGCGCCGTCAAATAAATTGTTGAATTGAATTTAAATAGTCATATAATTTCCAACTAAGTTAATAAATAAGAAATTATATGTTATTAACTGTCAGGCCGTTAAAATCGTATTTTTGCATTGAATTCCATAATGTGCATCTCAGACAGTGGTGAGGAGGAGGAGTCTACCGTGTAATTTGTTGGATTCAGGCAGAGAGGAAGAGGCCCAACTCGACGGAAAATCTGTTTCCCTCCAGCAGGTGGCATTTTTTTGCACCCCAAGGAAGGACAGAAGTGTCGTAATGCTTAGGTTGTTACAAGTGTACTGCTATAAGTAGGACACGTGACATACCGGCAACTTTGAGAAAAAACACTTTATATTGGAGTTGTCCGGAGATGGCTATGCATATTCTTGGCTTGAGGCTGGTAGCATAGTATCTCTCACCATGGAATACAAGCGCTTGACGGCAACAACCCTCATCGAAAGGGTAATTTGTTGATATATTTCACTCATGGTAATCAGTTGCCTTTTTAAAGTACTCATCAGTACATATACTGATATGTGTAACAGGGATGGTTATGTTTCCACTTGCCTCTAAAGAAATGTGTATTTAATGTTCAAGCACTCTTATTGGTTGGTTCAATTCCGATGACAATAAGGCGTGTTGTTATTGGCCCCGCTTGCAGATAGGGGGGGAGATCGCGAACGTCAGGTCTCCCCAGTATGAAAATGTGATGCAAGGGGAAGGTCACGTTCTGAATACTGTATTCTATTTTTATATTTTAGAATGTGTACAAGTTTGCTGTACATTCCTGATTTATACATGTGTGGGTATATGGTACCTGTTAAGGATTGAGGGGCTTTCTCAGATGTGCTTTGGTATATGATTGCTGTATATAAATGTGTTTGCTAGCATGCACCGATTGTAATGGTCACTTAAGCTCACTGCTAACACAGTTGTTTTCATGCTACAGATTTTACCATCAACAGCCATCAACATCATTAAACGCTGCGCAACTAACTTGCTGTTTCCTATTTAATCGCAGATAATAAATAACGATCAACTGGGACCACTGGCTGGGGTGATTTCTTTGAACTATACACAACGCAAGGAGAGTATGATTAACATCTGTTACATATGGATAAAAAATTGAGGGCTTGCCCATTTCATATACTGAATTATTTGATAAATACATCTCTGTGCTCTTGGACACATCATCAGTGATGTTTCCTAGGATCATGTTTCGGGTCTTTCAACATTACAGTATACAACTTCACCCATCAGACCTTAGCTTGTGTCATAAGTGACATTATGCTAGTTCCCATGAATTTACTGATCCCCCACCATTCCAAGGCGTGACTAATCACTGGCCAACTCCCTGTCACAAAATAACGATATGCACTTTTTTTATTTTTTATTTTATTTAACCTTTATTTAACCAGGTAAGCCAGTTGAGAACAAGTTCTCATTTACAACTGCGACCTGGCCAAGATAAAGCAAAGCAGTGCGATAAAAACAACAACAACACAGAGTTACACATGGGATAAAACAAAACATACAGTCAATAACACAATAGAAAATCTATATACAGTGTGTGCAAATGTAGTAAGTTATGGAGGTAAGGCAATAAATAGGCCATAGTGCAAAATAATCAAATGTAGTATTAACACTGGAGTGATAGATGTGCAGAAGAAGATGTGCAAATAGAGATACTGGGGTGCAAATGAGCAAAATAAATAACAATATGGGGATGAGGTAGTTGGGTGGGCTAATTACAGATGGGCTGTGTACAGGTGCAGTGATCGGTAAGCTGCTCTGACAACTGATGCTTAAAGTTAGTGAGGGAGATAAGAGTCTCCAGCTTCAGAGATTTTTGCAGTTCGTTCCAGTCATTAGCAGCAGAGAACTGGAAGAAATGGCGGCCAAAGGAGGTGTTGGCTTTGGGGATGATCAGTGAGATATACAGTTGAAGTCGGAAGTTTACATACACCTTAGCCAAATACATTTAAACTCAGTTTTGCACAATTCCTGACATTTAATCCTAGTAAAAATTCCCTGTTTTAGGTCAGTTAGGATCACCACTTTATTTTAAGAATGTGAAATGTCAGAATAATAGTAGAGAGAATGATTTATTTCAGCTTTTATTTCTTTCATCACATTCCCAGTGGGTCAGAAGTTTACATACACTCATTTAGTATTTGGTAGCATTGCCTTTAAATTGTTTAACTTGGGTCAAACGTTTCAGGTAGACTTAAACAAGCTTCACACAATAAGTTGGGTGAATTTTGGCCCATTCCTCCTGACAGAGCTGGTGTAACTGAGTCAGGTTTGTAGGCCTCCTTGCTCGCACACACTTTTTCAGTTCTGCCCACAAATGTTCTATAGGATTGAGGTCAGGGCATTGTGATGGCCACTCCAATACCTTGACTTTGTTGTCCTTAAGCCATTTTGCCACAACTTTGGAAGTATGCTTAGGGTCATTGTCCATCTGGAAGACCCATTTGCGACCAAGCTTTAAATTCCTGACTGATGTCTTGAGATGTTGCTTCAATATATCCACATAATTTTCCTTCCTCATGATGCCATCTATTTTGTGAAGTGCACCAGTCCCTCCTGCAGCAAAGCACCCCCACAGCATGATGCTGCCACCCCCGTGCTTCATGGTTGGGATGGTGTTCTTCGGCTTGCAAGCCCCCCCCCCCCCCCCCCCCCCCCTTTTTCCTCCAAACATAACGATGGACATTATGGCCAAACAGTTTTATTTTTGTTTCATCGGACCAAAAAGTGCAATCTTTGTCCCCATGTGCAGTTACAAACCATAGTCTGGCTTTTTTATGGCGGTTGTCCTTGCTGAGCGGCCTTTCAGGTTATGTCGATATAGAACTCGTTTTACTGTGGATATAGGTACTTTTGTACCTGTTTCCTCCAGCATCTTCACAAGGGCCTTTGCTGTTGTTCTGGGATTGATTTGCACTTTTTGCACCAAAGTACGTTAATCTCTAGGAGACAGAACACTTCTCCTTCCTGAGCGGTATGACGGCTACGTGGTCCCATGGTGTTTATACTTGCGTACTATTGTTTGTACAGATGAACGTGGTACCTTCAGGCGTTTGGAAATTGCTCCCAAGGATGAACCAAACTTGTGGAGGTCTACAATAATTTTTCTGAGGTCTTGGCTGATTTCTTTAGATTTTCCCATGATGTCAAGCAAAGATCAAATCAAATAAATTTTTATTGGTCACATGCGCCGAATACAACAGGTGCAGACATTACAGTGAAATGCTTACTTACAGCCCTTAACCAACAGTGCATTTATTTTTAACAAAAAAAGTAAAAATAAAACAACAACAAAAAAAGTATTGAGAAAAAAAGAGCAGAAGTAAAATAAAATAACAGTAGGGAGGCTATATATACAGGGGGGTACCGTTGCAGAGTCAATGTGCGGGGGCACCGGCTAGTTGAGGTAGTTGAGGTAATATGTACATGTGGGTAGAGTTAAAGGACTATGCATAAATAATTAACAGAGTAGCAGCAGCGTAAAAAGGATGGGGTGGGGGGGGGGGGGCAGTGCAAATAGTCCGGGTAGCCATGATTAGCTGTTCAGGAGTCTTATGGCTTGGGGGTAGAAGCTGTTGAGAAGTCTTTTGGACCTAGACTTGGCACTCCGGTACCGCTTGCCGTGCGGTAGCAGAGAGAACAGTCTATGACTAGGGTGGCTGGAGTCTTTGACAATTTTGAGGGCCTTCCTCTGACACCGCCTGGTTGAAAGAGGCACTGAGTTTGAAGGTAGGCCTTGAAATACATCCACAGGTACACCTCCAAATGACTCAAATGATGTCAGAAGCTTCTAAAGCCTTGACATCATTTTCTGGAATTTTCCAAGCTGTTTAAAGGCACAGTCAACTTAGTGTATGTAAACTTCTGACCCACTGGAATTGTGATACAGTGAATTATAAGTGAAATAATGTAATTGTCTGTAAACAATTGTTGTGAAAAATTACTTGTGTCATGCACAAAGTAGATGTCCTAACCGACTTGCCAAAACTATAGTTTGTTAACAAGACATTTGTGGAGTGGTTGAAAAACGAGTTTTAATGACTCCAACCTAAGTGTGTATGTAAACTTCCGACTTCAACTGTACCTGCTGGAGCGCATACTACGGGTGGGTGTTGCTATGGTGACCAATGAGCTAAGATAAGGCAGGGAT